GCTTGAGCTGGACCTGAGCTCGTTCAAGAGCGCGCGAGCGGCTGCGGAGATTGTGAATGGGTGGGAGGGTGTGCCTCACATTGATGTTTTGGTGAATAATGCGGGCATCATGGCTACGGACTGGAGCAAGACGGAAGATGGCTTTGAGAGCCAGTTTGGAACGAATCACCTCGGCCCCTTCCTTTTCACAAACTTGGTTCTGAAAAAGGTTCTTGCTGCAAAGAAGCCGAGGGTCGTAACGGTCAGCAGCGATGGGCACCGTTTGAGCCGTATTCGGTGGACGGATTACAACTTCAATGTCAGTACTCATGCTGTTTGAATCGCGCCTAGGCTGCAGACACTGACTGGAGAGCGTGGCACAGGACGGCAAGCACTACAACAAGTGGATCGCTTATGCGCAGTCCAAGACGGCCAATTGCCTCATGGCTCTCTCACTCGCCGAGAAGCTGGGCGGCAAGGGTCTCCTGAGCTTTAGCCTGCATCCGGGCGTCATCTTCACCAATTTGGGTGGCCATTTAGAGAGCTTTGATTCACTGCGTGAGTAAAGCACTTGTGAGGACGCGGTACTTGAAGAACTTGTCGCTAATCGCGGTGCGAACAGGGGAGACGGAAATCATCATGGGCACCAAGAATATGTGGACGGAGTTCCACCCAAAGACGGAAGACCAGGGCATCGCCACTCATGTGTACACTGCATTCAGTCCTGACATCAAGAGTGAGTTCTCCAGCAGTGCTTCAGAGTCGCAGGTCATGTACCGGAAAGCTAATGCTGCCCAGGTCTCAACGGACAGTACTTCAATGATTGCCGCATTGCCGACCAGTACGATGAGGAGATTTACCCTTGGGCGAACAACAAAATCGAGGCGGATAGGTTGTGGAAGTTGAGCGAGAAGCTTGTTGGCCAGGAATTCAACTACTAGTGGCCAAGGGACATGTAGTCCTGAGGCTGCAGGCGTCTCACATGGAAGTCTAGGATCTCCAACATGGCTTTGAACTCTATTCGTCATTATGTTTTAGTATCATTCATCTATCTGAATCCTACAGCAATATTACCTCTCCACTCTGGTATCTATGGCGTTGTGGGAAGGACATCACTCGGCTCGGGAGGTGCAGTATAGTCGCCAGGGAGGGTATCGACGGGAGGAGCCTGTACGTCGATGTCAGCGTGCGTTCATACTACCAAAATCAGACACCAAATTCTACTCACCTGAAGCTTCTCTGCCCATTCTTGTATCGCCTCGTAGTTCTTGCACATGTGCTTGGTGTTGAAGTCCGGGAATGGCGCCGGAGGGTCGCCGGCCCAGACCTGACCCAGAACACCAGTATCGACGTTGCAGACCAGGACTTGCCTGATGGTGTCTAGGCAATGTGCTGCCGAGGGTCAGCTATGGTTGAAGACGTTGAGAGAATGGCTTCCACTTACAAACATGGAGACGGACAATGTGCTCCTCGTTGGCGAAAGCATGCGTGCCCATCTTCTTGTAGTAGTCGTAATTGTAGTAAAGGGATTTCCGAACCAAGTTCTGTATCAATCATGAGCACCATACGTTCCACGCTGAGTCGCTGCCGTTGACTTACCAAGCAGTGAAGGTGATGCATTCCCTCGACGTTGACGAAGAAGCCCGCGCCGTACTTTTCTGACCTTCTTACAAAAGACATGTCGAGGCCGCTCTTCAAGCCGTCTTCAATTGATATGACCCCAGCGCGATCTCGAGATTATTAGCTACTAAGGTAGGCGAGAAGCCATGAAAATGGATGTTACTCACAATCTACACCCATTGACTCCCACGCCGCATCAACCTCTGGCGAAGCTTCCTTCCTAAAGATATCTTCCTGTAGGAACGATCCGTTGAAATGCTTCCAGTTGTATTCGACATCCACGTCTTTCAATACCGGCGACCATTGCGTCGTGTGAGCAGCACAAGCGCCATCTAGATCCGCTGTAGTCGATCTCATATGGGCACCCAAGTGCATGGAAAAGAGGTTCGAAAGGGCGAAAACCACAACTACAGCTGCAGTCCTCCTCCAATCTCGTCTCCTATGTGTATCATGTTGCCTCGCGTCGGGAACAGATTGCAGGGACTCGAGATCCTCTTCGGACTCTTGCACACGGCCAGCGAGCAGCCTCGAGCTCGACTCGTCTTCCTTTTCTTGCATCATGGTTTCGATAAAATTGGTATCAAGACGTAACAGATAGAGACAAAATAAAAGAACCGCCAGCAACGCGTCAAGAAAAAACTTGAGAGAGGGGAAGGATATGGAGCGATCGTGATCCAAGGGAAGCTCGTCCGAGGGAGCAACGGGCAAGACGGACTACCCAACGACTCTTGTCTGACATGAGGAATGCTCGCTAGCCTTCCAAGCACGGCTCACACATGTCCCTGTAGCTAAACAAAACGATGAGGCGTCTGTATATTTGGTGCGCCGTCAAGGTTGCCACGCGATTACCGAAAGCAGCTGGAATGCTCAAAACTCAATCGCCCGCCAACACTACCACACGAATAACCCCCACCTGCCACGATCCAAGACACCAGAATTGGTACCTATCAGAACACGGCATCCGCGGCAGGAATGTCGCCGTCGATAGTTTGGCTGCAGCTGATCCGCCGGCGCATGCGGCTGATGGTTGCGCGAGGAGGGGAGGCAGCCACGCCCACGCAGCGAGGGCTGCGAGGCGGGAATTGCTGCCCGCCGGTCTTGCTGGCATCCCAGCAACTCACACGATGCCAAGGCTGGGAAATTCGGCACGAACTCTTTCTCTGTCCCAGGAAAGAAGGGGAAAACGAGAGGAAGTCGAACGGATCCTCATGCTTAGCGTGGTGGTTGTCTCGCTTGTCTACTGTTAGGCTGGTAGTTTGCAGCTTCGACGCCTGCGGGCACCAATCGCAAAGTTTCCGAACCTTTCCCCCGACGCCTGACGTGATGCCAGATGGACGGTCTGGGGTAGTAAGATCTCGTATCTGTAGGGAGCTTACCAGTCTACACTGTCGACAGTCATCGTATATGTCGAGGGAATTTTGCGGCATCGTATCGAGAATCATTTCCGACAAGGCAGCGCTCGCGCAATTGCACAATCCGTTGGGGTCTGGTGTCATCCCTTGCGTGCGACATGGGAACAGCACCTGATCATCGCCTACACAGACAGCTCAAGTAGACTTGCGGTAGATCGACTTCAGTCGTGCTCCGATGAGACCGAATCTCAACCACCAACCCTCACTTGGCCTGACTGGATTCTTTCAACGCTAGATGCCATCCACATAGTAAACTTCCAGCCCACGGAGCCACCGCCCCCAACGTGGCAGCCTCCAAGTTTCTGGCCTCAGTCAAGTTTTCACTTTACCCAAAATCTGCTCTTGACATTAGCAAAGTTATAAGAGGTCATCTAGGTATCACGGCACGACGGCCTTCTGATTTCCTTCGGTCGTGTCCGGGTCCATGTTTCCGGCACCAAGCACAGCCGCCGTCGCAATTACGCTGAGCCGAACTGAACTAAAACCATGCCGTCGGAATAAGCGCGAGAAGGACAAGAATTAAGCGGCCCTTGCCGAGAGACCTTCGTGTACCAAAGAGGCATGGACTCCTGCATGGTTATGTCGACTCATGGATCTGCATGAGGTAGCGGGATGGGAAAGTTCAAGTTTACAGTAAAGAGACAACCTCTCATCATGAACCCGCCATGACCCCTCCCGGCTACCTATCCACGCTACTATGTCTTGGAGCCACCGAAGCTTCGAAAATCAGTCACCAAAATAGCATGGTAAGAAGGGCGGGGGCTGACACTAACGCAACCTCTTGTCCCTCAACCAATTCCGTGTTAGTAGGGCTGATCTCCGTCAGCGTGCAGAATTAGAAAAAAAGCTCCCCCACCAGAGACTTCACCTCGGAGTTTGCTCGACTTGGACTGAGGCTGTGAGGCTATTCCTGTTTGGGTTTCTCAGCGTGCTTGACCTCGCATAGGTATCACGATGTTCATCAATGTCAGACACTCTTCTCAGACACGGCGGGTTCAGCCTGGTAGCCATGAGGACGGTTCCACCCGTGTTATCGTCCGCGATTGTGTCAGTCACTGGTATCTTGGAAGTCGGCCCGGATCGGATTTTCCTCGAGCTCGCATCGTGCTTGTCTGTGACCGGATGACAAGACATGTTTTGCAGTTCAACCTTCGAGCATTAAGTGAAGAACTCACATCTTGGACTGGATCCTAGCTCCATTTCCAGCAGTGGCAGTCAACGTGATCTTTGATCCATAGGTGAGCTTTGACTAACAGCCCATTTTGGTCCTTTCGGAGCTCCCTTGCCCGGTCATGACACCCACATGCAATGATCTCTGCATCATCTACACCATCAGAGATGCAAGAATACGAGGACGATCTCTTAGCCGGTTGTTGAAGTCCTCTAAGCCAGGCGAGCCCCCCTTCTAGCGTGGTATACACATCGCCCGATGGCTTCGAGACATCGTGAGGCTACTCCTAACATCCTGCGGCCGTCCCGGACGCATCCGGATGAGCTTGTGACGCCATTCACAACCCATTCGACCGCCTACCCTGTAATCTTGCAAGTTTCTGCCTACAAGGCGTACCCCCGCTTCCAGAGGCATTGTGTCTTCCATCTTAGCGAGCTTTCACTTCAAGGGCTCCCTTGCAGCCGTTCACATTAGCCTGGAGACCCTTCATCCACCAAAGGGAAACGCCATCTCAACGATTACTAGGTCATCAGCACGATCCCAGATGCGGCGCGTATACCCTCATCACTCGGGCTCAAGGGTGGCCGGTATAGTAGTCATGGAAGAGTGCCAGACAATACCATCGTCTGCAACTTGAATCTCAGCTTGGCTCTGCCATAAGTATTGCCGTGATCCCACCATCAATCCCACGATCTCTCTCTCTTATCCTCATCACCCATCAAACAATTATCTCCCATAATCAAGTCGTCAGAGCCAAAGTAACTTCGACCAGCCAAGCCGCTTCGTCTCCATACTTCTCTTCTTCACCAAACGCAAACATGAAGGTCTCCGCCATTCTCATCCTGACCGCCGCCTCGGCCGCCCTCGCCGCACCTGTTGCCGAGGCCAACGCCGAGGCCGCTCCCGCCCCTGCCCCTCAAGCCACATCGGGTTACACCAACTACGGAAAGTACGACTACAGCAAGTACGGAAGCTACGGCACCTACGGTGCCCCGCCGGCCACAACCCCGAGCCCCACGCCGGTCCCTCAGACTTACAGTGCCTATGGCACTTACAAGGGCTACAAGCGCGCCACCGACTGGGTCAAGAGCTGGTTCGTGTAAGGGCACCAAACATATCTTCTACATTACGCATTACGCAATACGCAATAATCTCACTCCTTAAGCGCACTTCACCAACCCACACATCTCCCCTCACCATTTACTGGACGCGAGGCTGGCTCGGCCAACAACAAGGCCTCGGTACTTGGCGACTTTCATACCATATGTAACCCAAGAGATGGTTGAGGGACGGATCTGTGTGGTATGGGGGTATAATGATAATAGAAAGTCCACACACAGTAGACTCAATGAAATAAATCATGTGTCATGAGTTTAGGTATTGCCAGTGACGTTCCCACGTGACAGCCTGTGATATCTCAATGACTTGGTGATAATGTCCTCAATTTACGGGACTTGAACATCCCTAAATTATGTCATACATGAGGTAGATTTCGTGGCATTTCATCGGCGCGTAGTGCAACGGGGACTAGTTGTAATCGGCATTCGAAATGCAACCTCCATCTTCAATCCTAAATCATTTGTTCCAGCATTCTTGCTACACTTTTTTTCATGAAGGCTCCTGAAGGAGAGAGCTCGTTCGAAGCTTCAGCAGTGCTTTCACGACGTTTATTTTGACTAGAAAGATGAATCGCTACTTCACTTGGAACTTAGTTGCGGGTTCTTGTAATCTTGACAAGTAAATAAGACTCACACCGTATTCTATAGCTGTACGATTCCGTATTCCATAACTTTTGGCGCTTCGGGTTCGTCTTGTTGAACCGTCATTCAATCTTACAACTAAAGTCGCCATACCTGACTTTGTTCGCCACGTCAACTCTTCATCTTCCTTGTTAGTTCTAAACATACACGATTACGTGCTATTGTCAAGATGACTCAAGATATGAGAACACGGCCAAATGTTATACCGGCGGCACCTAAAGCCGGTAGAGGTAAGCAGGCAGACTTTGAAATGAAAACGTAAAGGTGACGGAATGTACTCCTCGTATTGATGGTTTTAGGGAAAGTCTCTACTGCCTCCTGTTATTTGCATTGCATCTTTGCAACGAGCTGAAAGCTCATGATTGTAACACGTAATGCCAACAGAGAAACAGATGAACATGTAGTTTGAGAAACTGTCTCGAGTTTCATTAGGTCAATATAAACCCAACCATTGTGTCTTATTACTCACGTTTTGATAACCGCTTATGAAGTCCTTATGACAAGCTCTGAGATTGGCCTCTTCGAAGCGCGGCAATGGTGCTTAGCACTGGAACTCTTCATCTGACCACCGTGTATCAAAGAGCTTACAAGGTACAGTATCAGGCTCTTAGTATAATCCAAGGCGTAAATGGACAGGATTTCAAGACACAAATATATTAGTTCTGACTCTCGTAGGTGTTCTGTGTGAGTAGCTTTAGCTTGAAGATGCGTTGAGAGACGGAAATAATTAGTAGATGCAGATTCTTAAGCTTGGTAATGAACGACGTATATTCAGATGTCCTGGTTATGGTGATTCACCTAGTCTCACTTAATCTTAGACCAAGGCATTTTGCCATGATGAATATGAGTAGGTATGTACGGATTCAACGATATTACTCATTTCCGTTCCATGGAGTATTGGCTGAGGGCTGTATGGCAAGCTCGACCGAGTTAGCTGAAGTTGAGAGAACCAACTACATACAATTTTCAAGTTTCAAAGTCCTGTGCGCGCTCTGGATATTCACTTCAGCCATATAGCATGCGTAATGTGGATGAAACCGTGGCGGGTGGAGGTTTAGAAGATACTTGGTGAGGCAAATGCAATCATGTGCTCGAAGTAGATGTCCACTCGGGGTGATGTCAAGATGAATAGTCTTAACATGCAAGCAACCATCCCTCGATATAAAAGAATGCCGGCATCAGCGCTTGAACCAGCCACCAATGAAGGCCTGACTACCGACGTTGGAAATCTCGAAGACATCTACCAAGATCGACGCCTCGTGAAGTCATGGAGCCTGTCCTTTAACGATTTCTACTGTGTCTTCATTCTCATCTATGGCAATATTATCAATGTTTAGCGCGTATATTGAGGTTCACTGATGCTCCGCTGAGGCCGCTTTGCCTGATTACTTGACTCTACTGTTTGAGGTATCTCTGTGGGCAGGTGCTGATGGCTACATTCACTTGACTCGGTATTGGGACTGTTACAAGCGGTGATACACTTGGGTTATACGGTATCACAGAGTCTAATTATTGATCACCGAGATAGCGATGGATTTGGCGAAAGCTTCGCAACAAACCCACACTAACTGGAAGCTGGAAAGGTTCGACCAGCCACCTTGTTTCAAGGTGTCTTTACCTCATCAATTCTGAGAGCTGAATTTCACTCATATCATCTAGTCAAGTGAAATCAACCGAGAGTCGCAGCCCTGGACTCAACAGTGCACTGCTGCCAGGTTCCAGCCACGAGCGCTCCGTCTCACAAATTGCCACAAGCTAGCCACGTGTCCAACATTATGCAGACCTGTGTCACTCATCATAGGATTGACCGCATATATGTTTCCATCTTTTCCAGGTTTCTCATAGCCGGCGGCGTTGTACGGCGTCACGATGTACCGGTGTAAGCCCAATGGTGTCATGCAAGGGGGCGAACAAACCCGCATTACACGTCCGCAGCAGGGGGGCTTAGAGAGGGGTAAAAGATATTTAAGCACTCAAGCAAATCTCCAGACCTCTTTCGAGAAAATAAAGAGGCTGGGAATTCCTCGCCCGTGGTCTAGAAATTCTCCCAGCCTCCTCATTTTTTTTTTGTTTCCCCTCGTGCCCCCTATCGGTTGAGATGTCGTCTGAAACGCCGTTGTCCCTGCACGTCGCCCGCTAACATCGGAAGCGAAGGGATCCACCGTGGCGCCGATTGCCCGCCGGGACTATTCATTGACTGTAGCGCAGCGGGCATCGATGGAGATGCAGAGCAAAAGGCAAAAGGAATGGAAACTCAAAATGATACAGAAGAGAAGCTGACAGTGAAACTCTATTGCTAATATCCAACCACCGCAATTGTGTTTCGGTGGTTGTTGCCATGTCTCGCTATGCCACTTGATGCATCTCCCAGCCGCTGGATGAAATGCCGGTGAACATGTCTCGCCACAATGGACACAATGAGACGAAAGCTGTCTCATTTGTGTGACTTCTTGATCCAGATGATCTTCGATGAGTTGGAAGAACAATAGATGTCTCAAAAGTTTGTAAAAGGATAGACGAATTACGACTCCGCCTTTACTCGGCGCGCTATAGCGTCAACGGCACCAGCGCCATCTAAATAAGATGATTGCTTTTGGTGGACCGTTCATCGGTTGTTGTAGAAGGAATTGCGACCTGCAGGAAGCCAAAACAAAAAATGGCAAGAATGAATCAAGGAGCGAATGAACGGTGCAAACTTACGTCTCAATGACCAGCCTCTCCCCTCGATCAGCTGACGGCGAAGAAGCGAAGAATAGCTTCAGTAGCCGAGTAGAGAGCTCGAAGCAAGGGCAACATGCATTCTCTTGGACGTCCGACGCATCGATGTCAGGGCCTTGCATGTCACAGGCGTCATATCTGTTAGTCTGGGGAAGCGCGGCAGTGAGGTTGGTGATTTTGGATTAGGGTTGTAGACGTGGCTCAATCAGGTTGTCGACTTCTTGTGCATGCATGAACCACCTTAGCGAGGGCAAAGACTTTTGCCAGTCACGTCCAATAATAGCGCTGGCTGTCTGCAAGAGACCTGGAGGATGATCATGCTGACAGAGTACCTACTCGTTCACAGAAGTTCAGCAGGCGCCGGTGGATGTTTCGCATCAGATTACGAGGCATATGGGGGAGCCTGCTGGACCAACTAGATAGTCGAGCCCTGCTTATGAATCCGAGGAATAGGCTTCAGCAGACATTGCGAAGAAGAGGCAGATGTGCCCTCACGTCAGTCGACTGTGACAGCACGTTGTGTTGTGTTTGACGTGGCGATGTTGAGACTCTGAGGCTTAATCTTCATGCAATCCTCATGCCGAGTTGGTGGATGAGTGCGAGGGAGGCCCGGAATCATGGCCAACAACACAAGAGCTACGCTCTAAGCCGACGAATCGAAGTGCTAGGACGATGGCCGTGGCCCAGCCCAAAGCCCAGAGAATGGAGGATGAAGAGATATCTTCCCCATTAGCGGCGAAGATGGTTAAAGGCTGGCGTCACCTCGATGATCAAAGGCCAATGGGTTGTGTTGGCATGAGGAGAGTTGAGGTGCATCATAAGGCAACACTTGCGCTATCAGAACGCCTGAGAAGCGCGGAGGCCCGCAACGCAAGAGACCCGGAACACGGGAGGCGAGAGGCCAAAGACCGTCTGGCCACCCGTGATGCTGGGTGGCCATGATGGGAGACCTGGCGTGCCGTTCTCGCGGTTCTGCGGGCAGCTGTCAAGTCCAGCATGAGAGGTGGGGTCAAGCAAGTCCCTGGACGAGACATGAGGTCACCCAGAGAATGTGTGCTCAGCAAACTGACGAACGAAGGTCCCAATACGAGGTCGGGGAGAGTGGCAGAGCAGAGGTCTGAGGTAGGTGGGATTACCCCCTGCGTCGGAAGGGCCATAATATGTGAGTGAGGGCGGCTAAGGCTCTAAGCCAACATCGGCTGGAAGCTCGATTGGTTGCGGCGAGGCATATTGGAATGAGGGGAGCTATTTGATTGCGAGGTGAAGTGAGTGGTGGAGTGAGTGAGAAAGAGAGGAGAAATAAGCAATGTGGCATATCTGTGCTTTGACATTATTTGGAGATGGTTTGCGGGACAAAAGTAAGTAGTGTTCCTATTCATCCAAGGGAGGAAGAATGAAGAAGAATGAATGAATGCAAGTCATAGTAGGTATGGATGAGCTGTGGGAGCTATGGTCAGAGGTTCAACAGTGCTCGCTCACGCTTCGCGGGGTGAGTTGAGATGAAAGTGATGGCAGTCAGATCAGGTATCCACTAGAGCAAGGTAAGGTAAAGATATCCGTAGCCAAGATGATCTGCTGAATGGGCTGCAGTGACAGACTCCCAAGTCGAGAATGAGTGAGAGGACGCAATTGCATGGGCAGCTGTCATTTCGGAAGGTAAATGCCAATGCCCACACGCACTGCCGACGGGTGCGAGGGGTCCCGGTCTGTGGGCCGTATGGATGAGGATCACTGTAGTGTACGGAACAGATACGGATGCATAGTGGGCAACCTGACGGACTATGTGGGTTTTATGAGCGCGTAGGGCAAATTCGCATGTCTCGCACTCTCCCTTGGAATCAGGTCGCGCTCTAGGGATATTCGCTTGCCAGTTGGTGAAGCCTAAACTTGTACGGATGTAAAGAGGGAGAGACGGAAGGGCACAGTCGCCCATATTGAGAACAGGCAAGACATGACTGGCTGGTCGCAAGTCGTTGCCCCGCTTATCGCAGACGCGTTTAATTGGCCGTGTATCGCGGTACGGAGAGTGGAGACTGGAGAGGGAAGTTGCATCCTGGTCGAGGTGCGCCTGGCCACTGCTGCCTTTCCTGTTCGCGCCGACCAATCATATGACTTACACAGCCCGTCGCATGAACGTCGCTTTCCCGTAGATCCACTTTCCCGACGAGTCTCTCTTTCCTGACGGGATTTTACGTGTGGTGTTTCCTTCCTCAGCAGCACGCCAGCACGCCAATGAGGTAAGTACATACGTATAGGTATACATACGTGCCTGCTCCACTCTCCCATCACAGCTGTCCGCCTGCCCGCCTGCCCGTCGTGCCCGCCCGGTCAGACTACCTACCTACCTTAGGTGAGGTGAGGTACCGCAGTACTTGCAGGGAAAAGGGAAGGAAAGCTGCATCTGACTTTCCCTAATTCACTATTTAACTCCATCGTTTTACATTACTAGAGGATTACCGCAGTATATATAAACGCTACCCTACCCTCAAATTCCGCACTATTTAACCTTAACCCTTTTTTTACCTATCCTTTTTTCTATTTTACCCTCTCTCTTATTAAAAAATCGCTAGAATCGTAGTTTTAATAGCTTATTAATAAGCTAGTATTATTATTTAAAAATAAATAACTTATTCTTATATATAAGTATTAAGAGTTTTATTATTATAAAAATAATAGTAAATATATTAAAGTATTTAAAAAAGCTTTTTAATAAATTTTTAATACTATTTAAAATAATTATCCTTAAGCTATAAAAAAAAACTAAAGTATTATATTAATATAGCTCTATTTATTTTATTAATATTAATAATACTTTTTTTAGTATAAAATATATTAATAATATTCTATAGCTACGTTATTATATTTTATAAATTATACTTAATATTAATAAAGATTTTAATATTATTTACTAAGTCTTTTATTAAAGTTATTATTATAAAGTTAGTTTAGTTATTAATATTTTAATAAGTATTTTAACTTAACTTAGAGGCTCTTATAGCTCTTAATTAGAGGTTTTTAAGGGACTTATAATTAGACTTTTTATTTATTATAAATAAAGCTATTATAATTAAAGCTATAGTATTACTTATAAACTTTAATAATAAGTAGTTAATAATATAATTATCTTTTTTTAATAATAAGCTTAAAAAAGTATCTTAATTTAAATACTAAGTAAGTACTATACTATTTTATTAAAATTATATTTTTATACTTATAACTTAGAAAGAATTAACTTTCTTTGATAATAAGGTACTTAGACTTTCCCTAATTGATCTTTGGATGATTTGGTGTCTCTCACCTGCATTGGCCCATCTCGACACGCCAGCAATACGACGTCTCCATTGGTCTTGTCACGGAACTCTCGCGTTTTACCACGTCGCTTTCTGTCTCTGAGTCTCTGGCGCTTCCAGTCTCTCAGTCTTTCATCTCTCTCTATCCGTTCAAACGCTTCCCATTATTACCTGTCGAGGCACCAGTGGTTCATCGTTCGTCTCCCGGAACCACCTAATCTCGCACCGGCACACAGCTGAACGCGCATCGCCGTTTCGAGACTTGAGCCTTCATTCGACCCAACTTATTCGACTTCCAACTTCTCGAGGTGAGTGAACAAGCATCCCATGATCCAATACACCGCAGATGGCAGATCAATTTACTGTCCTACCTTACCCTGCCCGGCATCCCTCGCCCCCTTGCCCTGGCACGCCGCACACCATCTTCCACAATCCACGTCCCATCTCCGTCTCCATCGGCTGAGAACTAATTCTTGCTCCACCCAGGCGCCAGACCGTGTTTGCTTTGCGCTGCCTCCGCGTCTCTTTTAGAGCAAGGTACCCGCCATCCCTAGACTGCCCTATTCTTTCCCCTCCTACGAATCCCATCATCCAAGTATCTCTCTCCAATTGCTGACAAGACGCCTAGACTTTGATTCCTAGCCCTTACTGCGTATACTATCTGTACACGTCCTTAGTCGGCCCCTCGCACACCCGTCTTCCTCGACATACCATACCGTCGCTTGCTTTTCTGGGCACTGAGTGGCCCATCTCTGTTCCTCGCGCAGTAGCGTAGCTCAACCTCAAACCACTTTTTTGGCTCCAGGGCCTTGCATTCAGCGACCAACGCCGCTTGCTACCGTCTCCATCGGCATCCGTCCAACAGATACCGCCAGACTACTCTGCTGCTCCGTACTTGCGCTATCACTTGTCGAACCCACGACCAAGACCAGGCCCCGGCAGGACCCAAACCCAGGCCTTACCGATACACGCCCTTCTCTATCCCACCCCCGGTTCCGTGCGCGCGCCCTCTCCGCGTCTCTCTCTCCCACTCAAGAGAGACCGCATCTCATTCTCAGCCTAGAGTAATCCCTGCTCCCTACCGACGCTCACCTCGCTCGCACTCTTTTCTCTCTCTATCCCCCCTTCCCACCCCACGCCAGCTCGTCGACTGCGTTTCGATCACTCTCTTCCTGCAACCAACTCTCTCGATTCCACTGCGCGGGAGAGAACAACAAATAAACAACGAATACACACACTCGCTACGCTATTCCACTGCACGCCTAACCGCCGCCCCCAAAGCTTCAACACTGTCGAGTCTGTCTGGCACCGACTTGCTTTCCCAGGGAATTTACCGACGAGGGAACGCAGGAACTCACTCACGAGTCCCCATTCTCTACGAATCGAGCCGACTGTCGATCACAGAGCAACTGGGACCCAGGCATCAAACTGAAAGCCGCTGGCTGGGCTGCCCCCATTCCCGACGCACCGCACCCCATCGCACCGCACAGCGGAACCACAACACCACATCCACTCGCCCTGTTGCGCGCACAACCGCTTCGATCCACACACGATGGCGTCCATCTCACGTCAACCTTTTGCGCCCCTCGACGGCACCCGACTGCAGAATCTGACGAGCATTAAGAATAGACAGAATGGTATGTTTGATCAACCCACGACCAAGCACGCCCGTTTCCCTCCCTGCAGTTCATATGTTCTCATATTGTGTGCTCGCAACATGGCGGGCGCTGCATGTGGCTCTCTCAACGACATCAGCCCGCCATACCGCTAGAATGCGCCTAAACCACCAACTCCAGCACCTGCCCCAAACATGTCCAAAATCCTTGCGCAAATGGTAGCTAATAATTCCAACAGCTGCTCCATCAGCTACTGGCGGTAAGCGCAAAGCTTCAGAGAGCGTAGAAACCGACGATTGCGAAAATGTCGACCCGTTTGCTTTCTCCAAGCGATCTAAGAGCTCCGAAACCTTCTACCCGTCAAAGGATGTCCTTAAGCCCTCGTCTTTCGTCCTAACCAAGGCCGCGCCTCTCGCTGCCAGCCCTATGTTGAACTCCTCAAGGCCTACCCTATCTCGCCCTCGCAGTTTACTCCAGCCCAAATCGCCCTCAGCTAAGATCAATACGGCTATCGCCAAGTCCTCCCCACTCTCAGCTCCCGCTGGTCGTTCGCCAACTCGCGGCAAGAGATCCGGCATCCTTTCAAACCGTCGTAGAACCGCTGGCCCCTACACGCGCGTAGATCCGCCTGCCTTCAACCTCCCTTCATCCTCCTCGGCACCATTCAGCCTCGATGCTGCTCTCAAGGGGACTATCCCGAGCTATGCTGCCCGTTCTACTGTTGCCACATCCTCGCGGAATGCCGTGAAGGACCTTGTTGACGAGCCTGATTTGAAGGCATCTTGGTTCTTTGATATCCATGAGGATACGCCAGAGCAGGAAATGACCAACATGCTCCAGCACGGCACATGTGTCCTCGACATAAGCTCTGATGAGGAGAGTGAACGCAAAGCCAGCAGGGACCGCGCAGAGGGTCGTGACAAGGAAAATGTGCCGCCTGTCGATGATGTGAGCCAGATATCTGCACGTCGCTCTGCTCGTCGTACTAGCGAGGACGAGATGATCTTTGAAAAGGAGAGGATAGCTCTGGGCGAGATGGATGCCAGCGAGTTTTATGCGTTTGGCTGCGACGAGTCATCGATCATTATCGTCCCCGCCGACGAAGAGGAAGAGGAGGAGAGCGAGGTGGCCCCCCAAGCCGCAGTGCCCGAACTCAAAGAGCCTGTTCCGGAACTCACAGCAGCCCCGCTCGAGGAACCCTTGGAACAACAAGGTGTAGACGAGCTCATGGGCAAATCTACAGAGACAGCGGCCAAGGCTGCGCTCTTGGAGCCTATGGAGGGCACCGGTGAGAGCTTTGAGCTGTGGGAAAGTGGAAGCGCCAAAGATGAATCAGAGGTGGTAGTTGCTGAATGCTGATGATGGCGTGCTTCACTTTGGTCATTTGACTCGACTATGCTTCGCTTCCAACTATTCACCATCTTTTAATTACGGGTCCATGATGAATGCGGCGTTTGCAACGGTTATTCGGGATTTCGGATGGACGAGCAAGGACTAAGCGACGGGGAACCCTGGGACACTCTTGGTGTAGGAACAGCGGATTCGGGTGTCTTGTTTTGTACAAAGCTGGGTTCGGAGTATTGCTATTGTTTGATTGTGTTTGAGCGATTGATGTCCTTATCAATAGAGCACTATTGAAGCTATTATTTCTGCAACGTTTTGGAGCCTTTTTTGTCACCACGCCCACCATGCCTCTTGGCCAACAACTTTGACCATGCAACCGTGTAGCCCATTTACGAAAGACACTGCCATCCGTCGTCACATCATCCCTCGCACCATCCGGGTGCTTCAAGATGGGCAATCTGGTGTCGTTGGTCCGCGATGTGCTCCCACGTGACAGCCGCTCACCTCACCCTAGGTACCCGGTCGCTCCAACGCCCGTATTCCGGGGCTCCACTCGGCCCGCATGTGTCCACTTCATTACACCTTCGCACCCAGAACCGCACCACTCGGCGACACTCGCATCTCACACCATCGCAGTGTCCCGCACTCATATCCGCTCATTGGACCATAGAAGTTGCGATTGGAGCACCGGGATTCACTGTCAAACGGAACATCGAGACTCAATGGCATCGATCAATGACCTTGCCACGGCGGCAATAGCGACGTCGGCCGCAAGCGGCGGACAGGCCGGTGATGCTCTCCCCGTCACCACACCGCCGGCGGGTGTCGTCCGCGGGACTTTCATCGCATTTGAAGGTCTTGATCGGAGTGGCAAGACCACGCAGGTGAAGCTGCTTGAACAGCGGTTGATTGAAGAGGGGAAGAAGGTCAAGGTTATGAGGTTTCCGGGTACGTATCCAGCTTTTGTAACGTCAACGATGGTCTTTCCATACTTGTATATGGATGACGCATCAACTGTTGTCACTAATTCAACTCATATTCTAGATAGAACAACGCCTATTGGTCAAATGATTGATGCCTATCTCAAGAGCTCAGTCGAGATGGAAGACCACGTCATCCACCTTCTCTTTAGCGCAAACAGATGGGAAGCAGTGTAAGTCGTCCCCCTTTCCCGTACATCATTATATCTGAGTAAGCTTACACCTGTCTAGAAAAAACATCCAAAATCTCCTGGCGTCAGGATACACCGTCATCTGCGACAGGTATTACCACTCGGGCATCGTCTACTCCGCCGCGAAACAGAACCCCACCCTGAACCTTCACTGGGCGCGTCAACCGGAATTCGGCCTCCCCCGACCGGACCTCGTCCTGTTCCTCGACCTCGAGGAGGCCGTCGCCCGGGAGCGCGGGGGCTGGGGCGGCGAAGTGTACGAAAAGGCCGAGTTCCAGAAGCGGGTACGCGAGCTGTTTTGGGGCCTGAGCCTGGGGCGCGTTGGGCCTGATGGTGGGCTGGGCGAGGAGGGCAGGGTCGATCGGGAGTTTCGGCAAGAGGAGGAGGATTTGGTTGTGGTCGATGCTGGGGGTACGCTTGAGGATGTTGCCGAGGAGATTTGGAGGAAGATTGGGCCAAGAGTGGAGGCGGTTGAGAAGGGGGAGGCTGGGAGCACGGTGAGGGTTGTGTCGTGAGCTAAGTTGCTTGAGCGCTTCGGGGGGGGGGGGGGGGCTTTTGGCTAGAAGTTGTCAAATAATACGAGATTCGGTATGAATATATCTGCACGAACCGAGTTCATCGATGCCTATGAGAGTGAGCATAGCGATATATAACCTCGAGTTTGGGCCATATCATGTTGAAACGCTTGCACCTCTCATTCAGGGCCGTAGAATTTAACACCGTCTTGACGCTCGAGGTATCACCCACATCCCCCAGAACCGCGACGTCGATTGGAGCATAAGACGACCCCACGGCCGGCCACCCAGGACCTGCGGAAGGATTCTTCAGAAGGCGCGCAACGACGCCCCTGAAGTATTCATACACTGCATATGTCTGAGGGGTGTAAGGTGTGGTATCCGGATCGGTGAAGAGAAGAACAATCTCCAAGCCGTGAAATTTGCCTAGCCAGTCGTACTCTTTAGGGAAGAGATTTGGAATGGAGCTGATGAAGTGATAGAGCCGGGTAGAGATGTTATTCGAGGCTGCTATTGAGGCAAGGGTGGATTGAGGCCCCGCCTGTTCGTCAGCGACTTCAAGTTTTGGGGAGGTTCGGTTGAGGAGAAAACGTACACAAGACCAGAGCAAATCAGTGTCAATGGCCGAAGCAAGATCAAAGTCATTCTTGACTCGGGTATCAGAGCGATACAATGAGACAATCGTCTACAGGTCTTCGGATGATATCAGAGCCGGCGGAAGATATGCATTGAACAAGGCCGTCATGTTGACTTTGTCATTGACCAGCCCACGCCCCTCTTCCTCCACTGCGCCCGTCAGAAGAGGAACTCTGACGACGATTCCGTTTCTCCAGAGATCCCTCGGCTTGCTGAGGGCCGTCACGTTATCGAATTGTGATCCGAAAGTGATGCGATACTTTCGCATGGCGCTGATTAGATTCTCCTCTGGAACGGCCCTCATACACCTTAGTTCATCTGTCACGTTGACACATCCGACTGAACGCGAAAGCACCGTCTAGGCATCGATTCCGGGCGGCGGATGGGCGAGGTTTCCGAAACTCATCTGGCCGCTAAATATGATTGCAGCTCGAAATGGGACTAGCGTGTCGTTGGCGTAGGCTTTGAGGTGGTGGTCCACCGAAAAGGAGCCTGCGGACTGGCCCCAGATTGTAACCTTGGACGGGTCGCCGTCAAAGGAGGCGATGATTTCTTGTACCCAAGTGAGAGCGAGACGCTGGTCGTGTAAACCCAGGTTTTGGTTCCGGCAGTGGGATCTCAGGTTAAGTAGGGAAGCCAAAGACTATAGAGCACATGCGTTAGCTCTAGAGGATACATGCCTGTGTAGATGATGATCATTGTAGATTGAGCGTATCCTACCATTTGTGCGGTAGCTGAGAGTTACGGCAATGATGTTTTCGTATGCCGCAAAAGCAGAAAGATCGAGTCTGCCGTGACCCAGTTGCCATCCGCCGCGCCCGAGCAAGCAGGTAGGAAAGCCCGTCGATGTGGCCAAGGAGACAGTAGGTAGAAGAAGCAACTTCTGGATCTTCATGGTTTTAGACTCGCAGGCCAAGGAACCTGCTCGATCTCCTTTCTGATGATGGATTGGATTGTGAAGTGCAGAGATCGAGGAGTCAAAGAATGATACCAAGCATAAGAACGGCTATAATGTGCTTGATGCTGTGACCTCGTTTATATACTCTTCGTTATCCACCCAACAGCCTCCACGACTGCTTGGTACAGGATCATGAACCAGAAGCATGGAGGGCCTCGTCCAACTCTAGCGAGTCTGCTTTTCCGAGTATATTGGGCATCTGACGTGTTTTGCAGATCGTCACATTATTCACTACGGAGCCTGCGATGACCTCCCGCGCGGGATGACTGGCCTGCTTGCTCGGGCGTCAGACTTGTGAGGAGCATAACTTCGACCCAGGAAGAAGACTATCACCAGGCTCTCAAAAGATTGTACGAGGACAATGTTCGAGAAAATGGAATTGAGATTCATTACAAAAGAAATCCAACAAGACGACTCGTAAAGATAACAAAAAAACGCTTCATCTGCTCATAACCCATAATCCGTAATCCGTTACCCATGACCCGTAATCCATAATCTCGCCTTACCCAGACAACCAAATAGTACAGCATTCAAAGGAAGGAACTTTATCCAACTTTTCCACAACATTTCGGCTGTCAGACTTGCTCTGGACTATGTGTGACGATGATCGAAGGCAGAGGCGGCTTCAACGCAACTCCACAGGTATCGAACCTTCCATCAAGCGTATCCGTTCCGACGGTAGACCCATAGTCGCTCAATGACCCGTTTCGTCGCACGCCGGTATCAACGGCTAGCTGCTCCCAATCCTTAGCCCATGCCGTTCCGGGGGGAGGGGGACACGGCTTGTCCTTGTTCGCCGGCGGGGCGAGCTTACCGTTCCCGGGGCAGAGACATTCGGGCGCGTTGGCGGGGGTGATCTTGATGGCCGGCGCGACGGAAGTCTGTTCCAGCTCGGGAAGAGGAGGCAGAGGCTCTGCGATGGGCAGCATGATGCCGAGGGAGTCCGGGTGCGGGTACGGGATAGGCGGGACGGGTGGGATTTGCTCTCGGCGCCGGGGGTAGCTGGCTTTGCGGACGAGTTTGGCTCTTGCTGGGGCCGGGATCGTGTGTCGGTGGTTGGCAGGAAAATAATAGTAGGCTGGAGGGGTCGGAGGACGACTGTTTGGCCGGCTTGCAGGCTTGGCTTCCTCGTCCTTGAGATCCTTTTCGAAGGCGCTGACTAGACAAGTGACCGTGTTCCGCCGTCTGAAGCAGGGCAACTCGAAAGGGTGCGATGCAATCTCCAGGACAAGGATGACGACAATGCTGCAAGTGCTAGTCGAAGAGTATTAGTCCCAGACGCATTTTGTTTGCATGCATTTTCAGGTTGCGACGTACATTCCGATGACGGATACTGAGAAGTTCAGCTCAGTAATTGGGCTTTGTGTCACGAAGCCGGGGTAATGTGATAGAGCTACCGAAGAGAGTATCACGGCCGGAATCCAGAGCAAGAGACCCAAGCGGGCAACAATGACAGCCCATGACACCAAAGGTGATTGCAGTGACTGCCTCTTGACAACCTGGTAGTTGCGGAACGACACGATAATATGTAGCACCACGTACATGGGGGAGATCATCGACTGTGAAGAATTGTTAGCCTGAATTCCACTGAGCCACAGGCATTGGGGGCAGCACTTACACCAAACAGGATGAAGCTCTGACTGAGACAGTCACGCTCGCCAGTCTTTGAGGGCCGAAACTGAAGAGCCGAAAGACAAAGGCCTCCTCCGGACGCGACGACCATGAAGAACATGACCGCGATCATGACAATCGGGAGAGGCTTGGGCGGGGATTTTGTGGAAACATCGCTTCCTGACATGGAGGACTTTGTCTCCAACGACTCGACGACACTGACGGTGTCGTCGCCTTTGAGAGAAGGAGCCATGGCAGAAGGCGGCGAGGGTTGATCGGATGCTTGACTGTTGCTTGAGTCCAAATCACCTCTCCTCCGATATCCTTCTCTGAGCATGTTCATATATCACTTGAAGTGGGATGGCTGGTGTCTTTGCGATGGCTGCCAGCACTTGCTGGCGTGGCGGGTGGGCTCTCAACATTCCAGCCCGAGACAAATCGAGGCACTGGTCGCTGGGGACCAACGGCCATCTGGGGTGGTTGTGGGCTGGAGCACCGCTGCATCGGGACTCAAAGGCCTATCGATCTGATGCATTCCAGAGCCCGGCTGCTACTGAGCAGCCATAAACGCCTCAGAAAACTGTGCGTGGTTGGCAGACTCAACTCAAGCCTGGGCTTCTCCTTGCCAATATCAGTAGACATGTCAATAACGGCCCGAGGCTGGTCAAGAATTTGTAGCTGAACCGGATGGCTGTGGCTTGCAGCCGGCCTCGTTAAGTGTGGAAGAAATCTGCCAAGCAATCGAGTGCATCGGGATCAAGGTCGATTGAGGTATCAGACAATGAGTGGAGTAGGCCCAGGATGTCAGATAAAGTGACAAAGCTCGTGGGTAGGACGACGTGTAGGGGGCTCTGATTCGTGATTTATTGACGAAACAATCTGTTTTCAGAAACAAATCCTGCAACTAAATCCAAAGATTGACAGTATCTGACTATAAAAATACCTTGCAAAGATATGTGTATGATATATAGCGAGCGTTTTTGAACGGGATGGCTACCGGACAGACTATGGCTAGATGTATCACGCGTTCGAAGAATAGAAACATAGCCAACGCCTCATAGAGGGCAACTCACATCTCCTCTCCAAGGCGAGCCTCACGGTCGCCAGCCCAGTCATCCCGTTCGTAGAAGCGGAAGACGAGGTCGTAATCCTCAAAGTCATGGACAATGCGATCAATGCGACGGTACCCGCGGACAGGGTCAACGAGACGCTGAACGGCAGTCGCACGAGAAGCATAATCACCCATGCCATAGGGGTTGGCGCTCTTGCCCTTGGCCTCAAACAGAGTAACACTAAAGCGGCCAGGCTTGAAGATGTCAACGACGTGCTCGATGATCTCAGCCGTGGTACGGCCACTCTGGCCTCCAGGGACGTTGGTCTCGAAAGAGGCGAATGAGCAGTTGGGCTCCGGGGTGACGTGGACAGTGAAGTAATGAGCGGCATTTCCGCCCTTCTCATTCTTCGAGTCATCGTCTTCGTCGGCAATGGCAGGAACAACACCGTTGGCGGAAAAGCCACAAGGGCTGAAGAGGTAGGCGTCGACACGAGCTCCGGGATACTTGCTGGTTGGGTACACGCTGGAGAGACCGCAACCCTCGGAAACAACAGTACCAATTGCGTGACCCTCGGTTGTCAAAGCCTCAGTGGCGGCACGTTCGCCATCGTTGAGGTCAGACTCGCCGATGTTCTCAAAGACGTCGACATGGTCCTCGCCGCCCGCCCTCTCATGAACCTGAGACATGTCACCCAAACTCTGGTGGGCATCGTCCCGAGCCGCCTGTGTCTGCGGCAAGTGCAACTTGTCGGTAGCGACCGCACTCGCGTCCGCCAAGTAGAACTGCTTCGCATTTTCAGGGTCGAGATCGGTCATGAGAATTTCAAGAGTTTCGTCACTGCGCTCCTCGAAGCCGCTGCTGAAACTGGCCACGCTACCTGTGGGAATCCTGGCGGCGAATGCAGCAGCTTCTTCTGCCTCGTCAGGAGTCCTAGGGGGCGTCAAGGTTTTGTTCGGCGTGGTAATATAGAGGTACCAGTGATCGCCGTTCATTTTGCCAACCATGTAGGCACTGCCACCCTCGAACAGGTCATCCAAGTACTTGACCTCGGATCTCCAGCTTCGGTGGGGACCCTGTTGACGGTCAGGGAATAGGAAGTTCTTGCGACTGTAGAAGACTCGGTAGGGGGTTGCAGCAGCCTTGACGTTGGTGGATTCCTTGGCGTTATGGAAGGGGAAGCCGGCGTGTTCAGCCGCGATGTGGAGGAGTCGCTGCAAGCCCAGGAGGAGAGTGGTCGTGCCGCAGGTCTTGAGAATGAGCTTGTGGGGGAACACAAACAAGCTCGACTCGGACAAGAGATAGGCATCGACAGAGTCAGACTCAAGGACTGAGAGGATCTTGCAGTTGACCATGTCGAGCATGGTAACCCAGGTGTCGGCGGAGACGGCTTTCAGGCCATTGGGCTGGGCGCTCGCGGGGAGGGACTCGGGGCCAGGGGCGAACCACACTTCGAGGAGCTTCTCCGGGCCTAGAGAGCATGTCTGTCAGCAAGCGGTCGGATTAGAGGCTTGTCATTTTGCTTAGACCGTATTACCTTCAAAGGCGTTGGTGGAGTCTAGGTCAGCAGCGACATCATGATTGATTGTCAGATGAGGAGTAGCCTCAGCCGGGGAGAGGGCGTAGTCGTTGGGGACGGAGGGGTTGACCATCTTCTGCAGGACTAGCTCTTTGGGCGCAACCCGGGAGCTCGCGTGAGAAAGAGTAGGCTTGGATGTTTGATGACTTTCCCGGTAAAGGGCTAGAAGTCCGCGGGACACTAGCTACCGCTCAAACGAACTTTGCGGCGTTCGTTTGAGAGAGTAGGCCCACAGGAGGGTGGACAATTTTGGAGGCTGGCGGAGCCAGCAGCAAACAGTGTATAGAAGGTGCAACGTCACTTGAGGACGTTAGGGAGGTCGAGCGTTGAGGGGTAGGAAAATAACCCTAAGGATCGGAATTGTGTCTTGTTGTAGGGCCTCGCTCTGGCAGAAACCGATACCTGTGGTGGAGTATCGGACCCGGCAGACGAGGTTATCTGCGCGATGGGAAGTCGGTTGGATGGTGGGAAACGGAGTCTAGTAGAAGAGCGATGCTTCTATGGAAGTGTTTGGTGCCTAGTGTTTAAGTAGGTGTTATCTGGGCCTAGGGAAGGGAAACGTTAGCGGGATGCGCCGATGTTATGAAGGTAGCCAATGGTTGTCGGATTGAATTGATCAATAGATAGAGCATGGGATGGATGATACTTCCACCGAGGAACCCAAGAGGAGAGTGAAGGGCTTACTTTGCGGGCTTGGAGAGGAAGCGGAGGAGGTCGACTTGGTTCATAGATGGCCAGAAATTGGCTGAAGTCGCAGAACGAGGGGCAGCGTGAATGCCACCAGTAAAAAGATGACCGTCGCAAGGTACTAGGTTTGTGTATTGATCATGAGGTTTCCGTCGGGTCGAGAGACGAGGTTTGCAGGTCGCACAACCGAAGAAAGATTTCGGCGTGGAAAGGTAGGCTGTCAATTTTGAAGCTCCGGGAGGGATTCCGTCGTGGTGGATGTGGATGTGCTCGTTGTGGTTCGTGGTGGAGGGGAAGCGTTGTCTGGGTGGGTTAAGAAAAAAATAAAAAAAATATATAAAAAAAGTTGTTTCTGCAAATTGAGCGACAATTGGCGGCATGGGGGCGACCCCTCCCCGGCCTCTCCACACAAAAATTTCAGCCCAAGCTACTACGTGAGGTACGAGGAGCTGCCACTGCCAACTGGGAGGACATTCTGGCTAAAACATACATGGCGGTACTTGCTCTAAAGTACCTCCCTCACCAAGTCCAGGTTCACGGATACTTCCATTTGCGCACTTTTCAGATGGCAACATTTTTTGGCGGTATTTCTTGACCGACTGTCCGCTGCAGAGAGCCGTTTTGGGAATGCCCAAGGTCTCCCTGCTGATAAAAAACACCTGTTCCTTTCCCACTACCTTCGACTCTGCTGCAAACCATATGAAGTACCGCGCCGCGTAAGGTAGTAGTAGGTAGTCAATTGCACTCACTTGCCAGTGGAGAGCTATGCCCGGGAAAGGACGGAAAAGACATCCTGGAGGTTGCGAGACAGCTCAGACAGGGAAAGACATTGGTGGCTTAGATACACTGCAGGGGGGGACGTGTCGCTGAAGAACGGGACTCAGACGTCATTTTTCGCAGCCCCAGGCCTGGACCTAAGATTAACACCACCTGTCATGGAGGGGTAACTTGTACGGATACATTTACGTAGGTAAGGTAAGCACAGCAAAGTCACCAACTAAATGTGAAGGATTCTGAGAGATAGATAGGCTCGAATCGCGATGCGTCGCATTGTAAGAACCAGTTGATAGAAAAAGGCAATGCATCTCTTCCTCAGACCATATCCGGTAAATACATACGAGTGGTGGGACATGCGGTGAAAGTCATCGTGCTTCAACTTCTTGGGGCTTCTTGCGCAGTACCAGGAATTTGACAGCGGCTTGGGCAAGGTACCTGATTGACAGGTACCGCCATGTTTTGCGGGGCTTTGCCCGTCCGAGGCACCGGGATGCCACCAATCTCGATGCATCCTCACGTGCTTCCAACCTTTCTGCGAATCGATGACTGGGCCGCCCATCGGATTTCGTCAACGACAGCGGAGTCGGGCCCGGTCAGCGTGGAGCGGGCATGGTGTTTTGTATGTTGTCCGGTCTCTAGAAATCCCTAGTATCCCTCAGATGCGTGTTGAGCTGGAATTTCGCATGCTGCTTTGACTTCGCCATGCCCAGTGTTTCTGTACCTCACAGTTATTACCGTCGTGGGGTTTATGGCTGTTCTCAACCCCTGGTACGTTGTGTGCCTAGAATTGGGCACCAAGCCGAGCGTCCTCTTCACCTCGCCAGGGGTAAAAATTTGCGGCACGGTGCAGATACTGAGCCTGTCGTCTACTCCATGAGTTGACATTGTATCCGTAGATGGCTCATTTTGCTTATGACTGTGCTTGTGCTTGTGCCTCTACCGTTGTTGTGAGTTTGGAAGTAATGTCGCTAAAGATGTGAGACAGCGAACAGTCCTGGTACTTCTCGACAAGAGTGTCGCCCTTTGTCTCGCCCTCCTTTTCGGCCTGGCCGATATCCTGACCGTGGATTTGCGTCCCTTGAGGGTACTGCGGCCTCCTGCCGGATTCGACAAGTTCGCCAAACTGAGGATCGATGGGTACGGTGCCGAGGAATGGTACCGAGAACTCCTGGGCCATGACGGCTCCTCCGCCAGAGCTGAAAATGTTGGTACACTCTGAGCAGTGAGGACAGACGAAGCCGCTCATGTTCTCAACCACACCGAGAACCTTGATATTGGTCTTGACACAAAAGTTGAGCTCCTTTTTGACATCTGCCGTGGCAACCGCCTGTGGTGTCGTAACTACAACGGCACCCGCGACCTGGCCAGGCCGAGCATCTCGCAGCAGTGTCTCGGCAAGGGAAATATGCTCGTCGCTGGTGCCCGGGGGCGTATCGATGAGTAGATAGTCCGTCTCATCCCACAAGACATCGGAGAGGAACTGCCGGACCATGGCCGTCTTTTTGGGTCCGCGCCAGACAACGGCATCGCCGCGTCTGGGCAGAAGGAATCCGAGACTCATGGCATGGAATGAGCCGATACCCTTTTCTTCGACGGCGTCATGGACAGGCACGGGGAGCCAGCCTCCGGGCGCTTGCTTAACCTTCTCTGCTTCAATCGACAGCATGCGAGGGATCGAAGGTCCGGTAAGGTCGACATCGAGTACACCCACAGAATGCCCTGCGAGCGCGAGGGATAGGGCCAGTTGCGTCGTCACTGAAGACTTTCCGACACCGCCTTTGCCCGACAAGACCTACATGGCCAGTCAGTCGGCATTCAGGTACACGGAGAGAAAAATGAGGGGTCATACCAGCACAATGTGCTTCACTTTAGAAAGCGACATGTTGATGACAATGGAATCTTTTGAAGTATGGGAGTGAGAGTTGCTGCATAGAAGAAGTCGTCGGAAAAGCGAAGTGCACCGAGTAAGTAAGGTATCTATGTCACCAGAGATGAAGGTGAGGTTGAAGAGCAAGTCAAATGGGCATCATTTGAAATCAAGCTATGCTTGTTCCCCACCCAATGGCAGTGTGACTGTGTGAGCCCGCGGGGTTGGTAAGCACAAAAAAGACGACCAAGCCAAAGGAAGGGGAAAGTTTGCCTCTGGCCGTGAGTAAAAGTCTTGTCTACCTATGCCCGAAGTGATCGACTCTGGAGATAGCTAGGCAAGTAGATCATGGATGGTACTGTTGGTAACGTTTGACGTGTTCTAGAAGAATTCCATGGCATCCCATGGACTTTTGATCTGCCCCTCCAACACTCAACTCACTCACATCTTGTCATCCGCAATCGGCGCGAATGGAATGCTGTGGCTCTGGGTGCTTATGTTATCTTTCATATCTGTGATCCTTTTCTTATCGATAAAGTATCTTACTTCCGTGTGGCTAAACGTCGGGTCATTGAATGGAGTGAGTGCAGCCCGTACCTTACTTAGCGTGCTTAGGTGATGGACTCGAAGGGGAAGGGGAAGGAACGCGGCTGGAACCGTGGGACCCACCAACAGAACGCCAAGCTCCAATCCCAGACACGCAGTGAGTTGAAGTTGAAGGGGCTACTGGTCGCGCACAGACGCTCTCCGACACGTCCGGAATCCACGACGGGGTCAGGTCGTCTGGCAACTGCATGCCATTTCTGGTTCTGGACTTGGTTCTGGGTCTCCATCTCCGTGCCTGCAACAATCAGTGCGTCCCTTACCTTTCCCAGTCTGATCTCCCATCTCAAATCTCGCAATCTCCGTTCCCTTTTTTCCGTCCATACCTTAAACAATTCAATTCGCGAAGCTTGTCCTTACTGTCGAGTTCTTCATTGACACTAGCGCGTCCACTCGTTGAGACAACGCCATCCGCTTCACGCTTTTGGAACTCCCTCTTTGTTCCAGTCTCGCTTCTGTTCCTGTTGCATAGCTTGGGGAATCGCTCTGCGACCAACCGAGTCGCGGCTCGCGAATTCAAGAGACAATAACATGGCTATCTAGTCTGCCCCTCAATCGCAACAACCTCACTTGCGGAAGACCGCACACTTCCTCATATCGACTTCCTCAGCACCATGAATTGTAGTGTCGCACAATGGACGATCCATGGGGCTCCCCGTGGGCATCATCTACCGACAATACAAATGCGCCTTCCACCAGTCCCTCCAAGACTATCATCGAACCTCCACCACCCGCCTTCCTCTCCACCCCGAGCAACCTGAACCTACCTTCCAGCCAGTCAGCCTGGCTCGACGACGATGCCTTTGGCGATTGGGCATCCCCTGACCCCGGACAGGCTGCGAATGCATCTCCGTGGACTTGGGGCAACGATGCCACGCCAATCGAAGGTCTGACACCGAGCTATGAGCCCAGGCCTAGAAGGAAGAGCAGCACACCCAGGTGGCCTCGAAGCCGATCACCCTCGCCGGGACTGAGACCTCCCATTACTCCCAACACCGCCCCTCACAGCGCTTCCCCCGGCCAGCCTTCACCTGACCCCTGGGCGAACCACGTGTCGACCTATACAAGAGACGACCCCGAACCCTTGGCCGATCTTCCCCAGATACCAGACGTCCCGCCGCTTGTGCTCGAGCAAGCGCAGATCGGTCTGGGCTTAACGAATACTCCCAATGCGTTTGAAAGGGAATTCGTTGCCCATACGCCAATAACTACACAATTCGCCGAACCTCTTGCCGACCCCTCACACGAATACCTACAGTTCAGCGATACTCCGATTTTCGATCGATTCCCAACTACTCCCAAGCACGATCACGATGTCGCTCATTCATCAGCCTCGGCTTCAGCCTCGTCTGACAACGATGACGAACACGACGGACAGACAGGCGCGAGGCACGCCGACTCCCCTATAACCTCTATCGAAGACAATACGTTACCGAAACCTGCGCAGAGGAAAGCCTCTGGCAAGGTTCTGGAGCTCGTTGAGATGTACGACGGCATTGCCAAGCGAAACACAGATTCCCCCGAGAGGGCGCCTTCATTACGCCGTAGTGTAAGCCGAGGGCCCGATATTGGCTCAGGAGATTTACCCTGCCAGAGAACTACCGAAGACTACCTGGCAGAAGAGGATCAGGAGCAAATGGAATCTCGCGACACGCTGGAGCCGACCGCAAAGGAATCACTGGATAAAGGGAGCAAAGTTGAAGAGGAGACCATCAAGATTGACAAGCCAACACGCCCAGAACACGAGCCCTTCAAGGTTGACCTTCAACACCTTGAAGCTCTCCTGCCAGACGTCTCCTTGCATGAATCAGTTTCACCCGAAGATGTACCGGATCGAGTCATACACGACAGCTTCGTGAGCATCTCCGAGCGCAAGATGTGGTATCGGTTGTCCCGCCATGAGTCTTTGCGCAAGCACAATGCGGGAGACGACGACAATTATGTCCGAATCAACTGGACGAATTCCACTCTCCGGCAAGAAACGTTGAAAACTGTTCGTCGTTGGATAGAGGAAGATTCGTTCGGAGGACGACCTTTCCGAGGAGGACTGGCACGAAATGCGGGCGGCAAAAGCTTCGGCTGGGACGCGACTACAGCAGCATCTCCGGTCGATCTCGACAGAGTATTCGGCCGTAAGGCAAAGCGGAAAGCGTCCATCCACCGTCCAACACATTCAATAAGCGGCCTGCCCTCGCTATCGGCAGCTCCTATTCTCCCTGGCTCTACGGGGAGCACGCCAGCCATGGGACAAAGCAACGACAATTGGGAGGGTTTGGCGACGTTTGGCTGGAGCAGCGGGCCTGGGGATATAAAACCACCATCGGGAACGGCGATGCAAAAGCCTCAGGCTACGGGTATACCACTACCTCTGGCCTTCACTGGGTTTGACAACGCGCCAAAGTCACATGCGTCCCTCCCGGCGTTCATCAAGCCGACCGCGCCGACACCTCCACCAGCACTCAGCGCTACGAGCTTAAAGGAGATTGAGGGTGCGGATGCGGGTGCAGATGCGGATGACGATGAATGGGGAGACATGGTTTCTCCAACGACGGCTGAAGCAACGGATTCCACTTCCCTTCCCAAGACTAGCTGGGATTCATTCTCGACCAACCCGCTAGCCGAAGTCACGAGCATGCCGCCTCCCGATGCCTTCCTGACTAGCAGTCACCCGGGAGCCGATGCACTCCGCACCGGGAATAACAAAGAAAATGATTCCCGTAACAAATCAGGACTGTGGGATATTGGCAATGTCATCAGCAGCCCCACCCCCGCCTCCACAATGTCTGCGGCAGCAAGTATACCCCAAAGCCAAGACGGCCCTCTCAGCCCGCCAGCATCTGCGAATACATACACATTCAGACCGGCGTCTACGGTTAAGCGACCAGCAAATATATCCATCGCAGCCAACCTCAACGACCCGCCGGACCCATTGCTGTCTGGTATTACCGGCGTATCTGCGGGAGGGCCTGCTGAAACCCCATGCACAACGGGCTTCCAGACGCCGTCCACGGCGCAACCGCCCAAGACGAGCACCGAGGGTTATGATTTTGTGCAACAATTTGTGCGTGAGCTGCCAGATTTATCGTATATGCTTAGATGAGCGGTTTTGTTTTTTCTGGCCATTTTTGTCACTATTCATACAAAGGACCTCGACGTAAGCTACGGTAGAAGCACGAGAGGACGGCTGGCATTCAGGTAGCGTTTTGCTGTACTCATACTTCCTTCATTCTCCCATCATTTGGCCATACACTTAAAGTTTACATGTATGTTGCATTCATTCTGGCGTTTGGTGGACATTGGAAAATCCCATAGGGCCGGATGGTAAAGGCACCTTGGACAAGGACCTTGTTCTGGCACACATACATTGTATATAGGGAGTGGTTGTACAATTTAGACAGTATTTTTTTACTCAAACACGTCTTCTTTTGCAAGCCTCGGTATGGCTCGCGATGAACAGAGCTCCGTGTTTAAACCCGAGGCAACGCAAATCTCGGAGGCGTATGACGTGGGGCCAAGCCGTTTTGTGAGGCCGAGCACATCCACCTGTGGGTTATGCCAGCGGGGCGTTTGACCGGTAAGGATGGGCATCCCCCGTGTCAGAGCCCCGACTCGCGATCCCGACTTTGACTGCCGTCTCGACCGTGATTGCCGTACTCAGTGCCGTGCGGGGACTCGCGGGGGGGATTAGGGCTCTCGTTGCGGGATGGCTGTGTCAAGGGGGGCGTCGTCTGGTCTTAGCCAAAGGATTTGGACGGGGGAAGAGGCGTGTCGGTTCTCCGCGCCCCGCGATATCCACCAGGACAGGGTCCCAAAGAAAGCTTAACGCATAGCGTAGCGTCACGGGTGTCTCGGTTTGTTATCATCTTTTTTTAAATGGCTGCTGCTTGTGTTTTGGGAAACGTAACTAACCTTAGCACCTTGGAACGGATACTCTCTCTCACACACCCACACCCACACCCACACTCACGAGAGAACAAGTACAAGAAGGGCCCCCGGCGTCCACATGTCGACAACTTTTTTGATTATTCCCGTGGAACTCTAAAGTCTTGTTGAAGTCCATTGGGACCCTTTTTACTCAGATATCAACTCCTCTCGACCTCCCTTCTCCGAATCTTGGAAAGGTGGACCAGCTTCATTCATGACGAGAAAAGCTTGACTATGGCCATCCTAGAGCTTCTCATCACGCCTTGGGCACCGGCCCTGGTGGTCGTAGGCGTAGTTGTCTACTACCTTTACCCTTTCTTCGTCACATTCGGCTCCCTTCGTGGAATTCCGGCACCGTTTCCCGCACAATTCACCAATCTGTGGCTTCTCTCCATTGTCCGGCGTGGCACGCGATACCAAACCGTCGATGAAATCCACAAGAAGATGGGGCCCGTGGTTCGCATCCAGCCCAACCATGTGAGCATTGC